GTTTTCTTTTTTTTTTTTTTTTTTTTTTTGTGTGTGTGTGCGCTTTGCGAGAGGGATAGTACAACTGGATAGGTCATTCATTCATGTCATTCTCAAACTCAACTTGCCAACTTGCCTATTTATAGGCATAAAAAAAAGAAGATATTATGATGCAGTTTTTCAAGACACAAGCCTCTCACCTAAGTACCTAACTAATCCCTACTGCAATTATATCATCAACAGAGTTTAAAAATCAATTATCTCAACTTAATCACATCATATGGTTAGGTGACTTCATAACTCATGCTTAAGCTGAAAAAATATCTCATGACAATTTTATTTGAATTCGTAAGTCCACCGTGAGAGATAAATAAAATTCTTTTTTCTTTTCAAGTATCTAATACAATTGTATTCTTGAATGTGCACAAATTTATACTTGAGTTACAAATTATGTCAATTAACTGCGTTATTTACAGAATAAGAACTTCCATCCGTACGTGCATGCCTCACAAGTCACAAGAGGGTTACGTGGGGAAGAATGGCTCACTTATTATTATATCAACTAATTATTTTCCCCAGCTTTATGTTTAACACGTCATATAACTTTTGTATAAAATCCTTTATCCATCAATAATGAAAAAAATTGGATTATATATTTTGAATTAGATTACTACAATGGATGGAAAGACTATATTGATATAGCTTGTGTTGTTTAAAAAATATAATAAATTATAAGACAGACGTCTTATCTTGAGGTTTCTGTCGAAGGTAAGCACACTGATAATAAGGTGAATACTATTGAAATGACAAATAAGTCAAATGAATGAATTTCTTTGGGCAAAAGAAAATCAAAGAAAAGAACATCAAACTTGGAAATTCAATCAGTGTGGCAAATGGCAATCCCACACGCCAATCAAGTATATTGATGAATGTATTATTTATTAAGTCAAATGAATGAATTTGTTTGAGGAACCAATTTTTTTTATATAAAAAAGGGAAATTCAATCAGTGTGGCAATCCC